CTCCTCCTCTTCCTCCTCCTCCTCCTCCTGCAGTACTCCTCCTCCTCCTCCTCTTCGTCCCTCCTCCTCCTACCTCTCCTGATGCTCCCTCCTCCCCCCTCGTGCCTTTCCTCCTCCCTCTGCCCCTCTGGGATAGGACGCACGGAATATTCAATATCCAGCGTCCTGTTCGCCAACTTCAAGAAGTGTTGATGTAGTAGCCGGCAGGGCTGGACTGCGACGCAGATGAGGTGCATGTGGAAGCGGTGTTCGAAGCTGGACGTCAAACTCAATGTCCTCCGCAATCGGACGCCTGCAAGTTGATGCCAAGAAAGCTCGGCGTCCGGGTCGGCCGCCGCATCTCCGAAGTTCACTGGGTTGTCGTGTTGTGGGTACTGAAAGCCTCTGCCTGCAATCTTGATCAGCTCATGGAGGAGGCCGTACACGCCTGTCTGCAAGAAAAACTTCGCACATGGCATAAGTTTGGCCCATTTGGCCAGCACTGGCTCTGTAGGCATATGGGACAACAGGAGTTCTCGAATGGTCGTCCCCACCTCAATGACCAATTGATCCATGCTCCTGTACTGACCAATGTCGTAGATGACGATCGTCCCATTTGACTTCCAAGTCGGGCCAAACAGCGTATGTGTAAAGCATCGTCGGACTGCCGTGCTGTACCTTTCCTTCGCAGATCTCCCTGCTGGCGTGGAAACATCGCCATCCCAAGTGTCGATCAAGAAGGCGACGAGTGCTTCAGCGTATGTCCTCGCCTGCGCGACCTGTTGCGCAGATGGCGAGCGATTCCAAATGACATGCTCGTGATTGTTCTCCTGGAGATACACCTGGACGGCTGCGACAATGCGCACGTAGTGTCCACCCATCTTGAAGAATCGCACGGCCATATACATGTCATTGATCACTTTCATTCCTACAAGATCAACTGTGGACACGCATGCAATGTTTGTCTGGTGGTTCATGCACTTTGCCAAGAGCGCCAGGGATGGACTATTCAATGTATTCGTGTCTTCATTTCTCCAGTGAGCGTGCAATCGATCGTTGGCGGGATGCGCATCTGCCTCGCGGATCGCAAAGAAGAAGCCAGTGAGCTTTGCGAGCCACTCCTGAAATTCTACCATTGGTTTCATCAGAGGGTGGTTGCGCATGGCTGCGTTCAAGTGGTCAGCTCCATTGCTCAGCAGCGGCAGAGGCGGCGTCACCACCTCGTAGAACTGGGCTCCAGACCTGTTGCCCCAGAAGAATGTCATGCTGGACACGCACACCTCCCATGAACTCCCACGATGGCTCTGTCGAGTCGCGTCTTTGATGGCACTCAAGCTGACCAACTCCTGTAGAGGCGCAAACCTCGAGTCCAAGACGGCCTCGGAGGACCCAAGGAGGGACCAAGAGAGCCTAAGGTGTGAGGGCCCTGAGAACCCAAGACCGCCCAGGACAGCCCCAAGGGCCGCAGGAGGCCCCAAGACGGCCCGAGCAGGAGTCTCCCCAAGACTGAGACGGCCCAAGGCGGCCCCAAGACGGTTCCAAGGGCCGATGGGGGTCCCAAGACCCAAGACGGCCGAGAATGCCGAGACGGGCCCTAGACGGCCCATTACGACGCTAAGACAGCCCAAGATGGTTCCGAGACTGCCCTAGAGGGGCCCAAGATTCTGAAGACGGCCCCGTGCTAGCCCCATAACCTAGAAGAGCCCGAGACAGCCCCGCGACGGCCAGGGTAAACGCGAAGAGAGCCTCAGGCCCTCACTGACGAGAGAAGTCACATGTGACATGTTACATGTTACGTGTTACGTATTACGGCTCCTGGGCTCGTGCGAGGACACGCCCCCAGCACAACGCGGCGCACGGAAGTCCACTTCTTGAAAACATGGATGGGGAGGCGAGAGGATGAAGGATGAAGGTGACGACGATGGTAGAGGTTTTGGTTTTTTGATGCCCGGTGTCCTGAGTCTCATCCCACGAGAGTCTCACACCTGCGAACTCTGGCCTGTCGTGCTGGATAAGCCGGCGCAAGTCCCTGAGTAGGAAACCGCCCCATTCGACCTCGGCGTAGGCGACGATCTCGGTGATCCTGCGCACCGTCTTCCTGGAAGTGTTGTGCGCTTCAGCAATAGCAGTCACTGTGTGCCTCTTGCCGTGCGCAAGTTCGAGCATGCGAGCCCACGAGAACGTGATGGCCCGCCCTTTGCGTGTCGAGCCCTTTTTGCGCAGCACCAACTGCACACCGTCAGTGTCGAGACCATTTTTTTTCTCAATCAACTCCATGTTTTGCCAAAGGCGGCCAGCACGTCTAAGCTCATCGGCGAACTTGTGGATGGAGTCAGCCTGCCTGCGAATCTTCGTCTTCAACGTCTTCGCCACGCGGCCAACAGTCATGCGCATGCCCTCTCGTTCTCTTTGCTGTTGCGTCCACCGTCTGCTCCCGCGGCCTCGCAGAGCAGCACCTTCCACTCCAGCAGCTGCCGGGGCCTCCACGTCCATGTGGTCATCGCCTCCCGCAGCAGCTGCGTGGGGGCAGAATACTATGAAGTCGTCGTCCGACGACATGGCCAAAATGGCGGAGCCAAAATGGCTGCAGGAGGAGAGGGGAGAGGATGAGGAGAAGGATGCGCAAAGGGGGATGCGCATGAGCTGGTCCTGTCGGGCCCCGTCAGCCGCAAATCAACGGCTTCCACGGAGTGCTCCATCTTCCATCATAATTTCGACCGATGGCCCCCAGGATTGCTTCAAGAAGTTCCCCGAGGTTCCCAAGGACGCCCCAAGATACCCCCAAGGGGCCCCAAGAACCTAGAGAGCCCCAAACCCAAAACCCCAAGGCTTTCGAAACGCCCCAAGAGCTAAGAGCAGGAGTTTTACGTGTTATGTATTACGTACACTTCCAACATTACCCCAAGAGCCACGAGGGCCCCACGATGTCTCCAAGAGGCCTCCAAAAAGCTCGCAGAGCGACAAGCCTGCCAATGCCTGTAGGATTGCCTGCTGTCGTCATCGACGTCGTTGTCCTCGATCTTCCTCCTCCTTCTCCTCCTCCTCCTCCTCCTCCTCCTCCTCCTCCTCCTCCTCCTCCTCCTCTCCTCCTCCTCCTCCTCCTTCCTCCTCCTCCTCCTCCTCCTCCTCCTCCTCCTCCTCCTCTTCCTCCTCCTCCTCCTCCTCCTCCTCCTCCTCCTCCTCCTCTCTATTATCTATGTCTCTCTCTCTCTCTCTCTCCTTCTTCCGTCTCTCTCTCTCTCTCTCTCTTTCTTCCTTCTCCCGCCCCCCGGGTGCAAGCAAGCGCGCGCGCGAGGCAAGCGCGCGACGCGTCGTCGTCTGATTCCCTCCTCCATTTCCTCCTCATTTCCTGGATCCCTCTTCCCTCTTCCTTCTCCCACGATCCACAGATAAAGGCTGCGCCCCTCTATATTGCATCGTCTGCTTCTGCACTTCCCTGGTCACGGCAGCATCGGTTCCTGGATGGTGGGGACGCGAAGCGTCAAGACGTCAAGACAGTAGATGCACGCCAGGTCGCGAAGCCAAGATGGTGCACCGATTAGTTTACAATGGATCTTAAGAGGAAGAGTTGATATATGATATATGATATATGATATATGATATCCCCATGTCGCCCGACTTATGGCCCAAATGACGCCCCCGCGTTGACTTGAAGGTGTCCTAGCTCCTAGCTGATGAACAGACCACGTGTTGCAAATAGGGGGCCTGCGTGTTGCAATTAGGGGGCCGATGCTATGCGCGCGGACGGCCAATGGTGTTGCAAAGAGGGGGCCTGCGCGTTGCAAACGGAAGGCCGATGGCGTTGCAAAGAGGGGGCCTGTGCGTTGCAAAGGGAAGGCCTATGGCGTTGCAAAGACGCCCTTTGGTGGCCCATAATGGGTTTACCATGAGCACTATATATTCGTGTATTATGCCCTGGCCAATACATACAACACCTCTACCTACCGACCTACCGACCTACCTACAGACAGGCAGACAGGCAGACACACATACATACATGCATACTCACGTACATATACGTATACACATACATATACTTACACGCATACACACATATATACATATATATATACATATGTCCATATATGTTGCCGGACTGAGCAACAGCAACATACACACTCGATGCGTTGTACCATTATGCGTGGACATGCAGAAACACATTCAGACGAGAACGTACGTCTTCATCAAGGCTGGCCGACAGTGTCTCAATGGTAGCTGTCGGCTGGTTGCCAGACCTCGGGTCCGGCAAGCCTCACGTCAATTACAATCTCTTATCGGAGCGAAGGGCTTCTGCCCACGAAGAGATCCCGAAGGGGCATCCGAGAGGACCCAGAATCCATGCAAGAGGCCTCTTGTCCACGACCCTGTCACGGTTGCGGGATGGGCCGAAGGCCACTACGACAATAAGCTTCGCACTCGGGCCCAACTCCGCTGGACTGTCATCGATACCCTGGGCTGGGGCCTGGCATATTGCGCCAGCTTCTTCGCGGAGGGACCTGCCGTGCGGAGAGAGGATAGATAGGGGAACAACAAGTGGCATAAACATAACAACTCGGGGGCCCGCGCGGATTTATCGGATCGGCGCTGGACTCCCCTCCCTGGCACGCGGAGCGCGCCATGGGCGGAGCTGGGGGGCGGCGCCCGGGGGACCCAACGCGGATCCAAACATCCGCGCGGACCTCCGAGAACATGCAGTGGGGGCCCGACCACGAGAGACCTTCCACAAGAACCCCAACCCTGACCCCCCAGGACGTCCCTGGACTTTTGGTGTGGGAACGTCACGCCCTCCACAGCAGAAGCATCGAAGCCCCAGAAACCAAGGGCACCCCGGAGGCCAGCCGGGTGCACGGGCCTCCTCTGTATGCTGCTGCCGTGTCGTGTCTCCGAGGCGACCGCGGCGACGACGGAGGAGACGACGAAGCGGCGGTCGCGGCGGCGATGCTGCTGCCGGGTCGTGTCCCCGAGGCGATCGTGGCGACGGCGGAGGAGACGACGAAGCGGCGGTCGCGGCGGGGCGGCGCCTGGCCGTCGCCAGTCGGCGTGCGGCTCTGCACGGGTCCCTGACCTGGGGCGCCGGCCGGCGCCGCTGGCGCCGCCGCCGCCCCGCCTCCCTGCTGCTGTACCCTCGTGCGCCCTTCCCTCTATAGCTGCTCGCTGGTCTCCCCCTCCCTCCCAACTGCGTCCTCGGGCCTCCTCCCTCGTCCCTCCATGCTCTCTCCTCCGTCCGCCCAGCTCCTTCCTCCCTGCTCCCGGGGGTCCATCCTCCCTCTCTTCTCCTTCCGCCTTCCTCCCGACCTCCTCCCTCTTCCCTCCTCCTCCGTCCCTCCACCTCTTAATCTCTGGTCCTCTCTCCCTTCCTCATCTCTCATGCTCATCCTCCTTATCATTATCACCGATGTGTTCTTCACCTCACATCGTCTTTCGATCGTGACTGCTTGGCTTGCGGTTGTAGCCTCGCGTCAATCCTGCGTCACCTCATCCTCATTCTCCTCCTCTTGTGCTTGATCTTTCTTCTCCCCCTCCATCATCTTCCTTCATCTCCTCGTCGTCCATTATCGTTGTCCTCCTCATGCGTAGTTCGTCTCCGTGGCGTCATCCTGCTGGTCCTCTTCGAAATCGTCGCCGACGTGGTCGTGGTCGTCGTCATCGTGGTCGTGGGCATCGTATTTGTCGCAGCGGTTGGTACCGTCGTCCTCGTACTGCTCCTCGCCCAACCCCGCACACTCGAACTCGTCGTCGTCGTCCTCCTCCTCCTATTCCTCTTCCTTCTCCTTCGCCTTCCGAATCTGCTCCCCCTCTCCAGCCCTTTCCATCTCCCGTCCTCGTCTGTAATTGTTCTTCGAGTAGGGGATCGAGTGCAGAATCGATTTTGCCCCAAAGTTAATTGTTTCGTCGAGTCTACGGAAAATACTCAGAGTCTTCAGTCGATGCAAGGAGCATTCTGCGTATCCGTCGTAGCACCGACGGGGAAACTCAGTTTGGGGGTGAATCAGTTCTGTAGTCGATCCTCTGCTCGGGTTCTTCTTCTTTCGGCTACACGCAAGAGTGACCCTGGGTAAGAGTGACCTTTGGTGCGCGGCTGCTGGGGGGCCGCAACGCAGGCGCGCAAGACGCTACTATCGCATCGCGTTCCGCGGTCGGGGCACTCCAATGGGCCCGCACCAAAGGTCACTCCGGCCAAGGGTCACTCTTACGTGTAATTGACTCTTTCCCCTTCGAGAAAAAAGGCCCCGGACCGGGCTTGCGGCGCACGCCGTTGCCCCAGATCTGCGCGGCGGAGTTCGACTGCCGCACCTCCGCCGGGCGCGGAGCGCTCCGGCGCGCGCGGGGGGAACCGCGCGGGGGTTGAGGCCTCCCGAGGGCGGCATGCGGAGAGCACGGCGGCAGTGAAGGGCAGTTCGTGGGACGCAGAAGATAGGGAGCCCACAAAGGACGTACGCGCCCAACCATGTACATGAACGTTGCCCCTCGATCCGCGAGACCGGCCGCATGATACAAGCAGTCGCGCGATGCGTACTCTCGAAACCAGCGCGGATTCATGCACATGTGCGTCCTTCTTTCGCTCCTGAGATGAGCATACCAGCCGAGCGTGTAAAGTACAGGCTCTTGTAACACAGTGGAGGCTGATCCACAAAAAAAACCTCCCACGAGAAACCCAGACCCGAGACCCCAGGACGTACATTGGTTTTTGGTGTGGGAAGGTCACGCTGTCCACAGCGAGACCTTATAAACCCAGGGTACCTTGGAGGCAAGCAGGTTGTGTCTTGGCGTGGGCCTCCACTGTACAGCCACCGCGCGGGGGCATCTTGAGACTGCAGTCAGGGGCGCTGGGAGCAGAACAGAGGCCAGCAGACGCACACCACGGCAGGCCCTTCCCTGCACGCGAACTCGGATGGGGGAGGGGGGAAGGGAGGGCGCGGGGAGGGCAGGACGGCGGGGAAGGGAACTGAGCTCGGCTCCACCCGCCGACGCGGCGCCGGCCGTGCTACCGCAGGGAATGCCGCACAAGGAACGGAGGGGCTGCTCTGGCCAAGGTGGGCCTCGGCCACGGACGGGTTCCCGACCCAGGTTCAAGGCACGGCCCGAGAGGCAGAGCCTGTGCACTTCCACCGCCCATGAGAGTGCTCGTTTTCTTCGTCTGCGCTTCGACACTGGGCGGAAAGGGGGGGAGAGGGGGGGGCTCTGGCTCCGGACCTCGGCTTAGTGCGACTGTTGGCAGCAGTGCGTCCTATGGGGGGAGACTCCACCTGCTCGAAGCATGCGCCGAAAACAGCCAAGATCCATTCCAGGGGGCGGGGGGGGGGGGGGGCGCGGAGGGGAGAGGGCGAGAGCCCGCGCCGATCGGCAGAACAATGACTAAAAAAACTATCGCAGACTTGTTCCCCCAGACCCAGCTGTCGCAGCGAGGATCGTGGCGGCTGCCTTTTTCAGCTTCTTCGGCCACTGGGGGCCTGTTCCCAGTCCCAGGGCCAGAAAAGGTGATTCAAGATGATGGTTGCCAGCGTAGATCCCCAAACGTGCGTCATTGTACTCCGGGTGTGAAGGTCATGTGGCGCAGTATACGCGTTGCGCAAGCTATGTGCTGCAAGCTATGTGGCGCAAGCTCTGCGGCACAAAACACTGTTGTGCAGGCTACGTGGTGCAACCGCAGTGGTGCCACCGAGTGTGGCAGCGGTGCGGTGCCCACGGGGCGAGAGCCTGCAAAGCCAGCGACTGCCCGAGGCGCCCACGAGTCGTCGACGGACGGCGACGGCGCGAAGACCCAGCAACTTCCAGCCTGGCGCACGTGGCGCCCCCTGGCGGCGACGGAGCGACGGCCGAGAGCTCCCAGCCGGCGCGCGAGGCTCCCGCGGGGCGCCCCACGGGCGGCGACGACGCGACGGCCTTGGACTCCCCGCCGGCGCACGAGGCGCCCACGGGGAGGCGCCCACGGGGGGCCACGCGGCGAACGCCCGAAGCTGTCGGCCAGGGCAACGGAAGGGCCCCTTCGTGCGAGCGCTGCTTCGGGGGGACAAAAGGCCCCAGGGGCAGGGTCGAGATCCCCCGGGGGGCCCACGTCAGGAACCAACTGTGACGTCGGGCGCCGAGAGCCCCACACCCGCCGCCTGGCCTGGGGAACCGACTCAGATGTTTGATGTTTCGTTGTCTTCGGGCCTCCATGGGACTCCGCAGGACCATGGCCCTCTGGACTCTTCCGAGGACCTCGGACGACTCGACTGGAAGGACAAGGAGGCAGTGGAACCCTAGGGCCAGATCCGCTGCCTCCCGGGTCCGATGACATAGGAGGCGGTGGGTGTGAAAAATCTGTGGAATCAAAGAATGTCTCATTCCTGCTCCTGCCGCGCGAAAGGCCTTCGAACGGCCTTCAACAGGCCCTCGGAAGCCCTCCGGAAGCATCATGCAAGAAGCCTTCGGGGCCCCCCTGCAAACTTCCTGGAGACGTCCAGGAGCCGAAAAGGAGGTACTGCATAGGCAGGGACGGAACTATCGCGGCCGTTTCTCAGGGCCAGGGGCAGATCTCGGGTTCTGGGCGCTCGGGTTGGCCCGCGACCTCAGAACGTGTGCCAGCACCAACCTGTGCTTGTCCACGAGGGTTGACGCAAACTACACGCTACTAACGGAGAAGTACGTGGCAAAGACACATTGGGATAACACACGTTCTGAAGATCATCGACATCAAACATTAAATAAGGACGGGTGCTCCTGATTTCATAATGAAGCGGGAGGTCGCAACCCTCGCAGACGAGCAATTTTGGACCTCCCTCGATCAGACATGAAAGGGTGGTCTTGTGCCCATACCCCCCGGATCGCTCCAAGACAGCACAAATTAGACTCCCCCAAAAACAGACCACCCCGCTGTGATGATGAAATTCTGAATAAGCATCGTCCTGGGCGATATATTTAGAAGTCTCCCAGATGGGGTCCGAGAAGATGGGGTCGGGGGATCGCGCCGCATCGCCACTGAATCGGCGATGCATCGGCAACGTCAGCGACACATCGGCGACGTCCGCGTGGAACAGATCGGGCCACACAGGGAGCCACTTCGCTGATGCATCGGCGATGCGTCGCGATCCTCCGCCCCCGTCTACTCTGATCACATCTGGGAGGCCTGGGCATCTCCTCCTAGAGGCGGATTTTGGACGAATCGTACAACATAGGTCTAGTCAAAATGTGATACCGGAGAACAACCCAATAAAAGTCTTTTTAGGGCTATAGGGCTATGGTGCTACTGGGCTATAGGGCGATGGGGCTATAGGGCTATGGGGCTATAGGGCTACAGGTCCACAGGGCTGTAGGCCTATAGGGCTATAGGGATATGGGGCTCTGGGTTAAGGGGCTATCGGGCCATAGGGCTATGAGTCTAGATGGCTTGGGGCTATAGGGCTACAGGATCATAGGGCCTTGGGGCAATAGGAATATAGGGCTATGGGGCTATAGGCATAGAGCTTAGAACTATGGGACTATAGGGCTATAGAGCTATAGGGCTATAGAGCTATAGGGCTGTAGGGCTGTGGGGCTGTAGGGTTATGGGACAATGGGGTTATAGGGCTAAGGGTTATAGAGCCATAGGGCTACAGAGCTATAGAGCTATAGGGCTATAGGGCTCTAGGGTGATAGGGCTAGAAGGCTATAGGACTATAGGGATCTATGTCTATAGGGCTGTAGGGCTATGGGGCTATAAGGCTATAGGGCTATAGGGCTATGGCGCTATAAGGCTAGCTAGAAGGCTATACGGCTATACGGCTAGAAAGCACCCGGGCACCTGGGCCCCCGGGCGGGCTGCTGAAATCGGTGGCACACCTCACCTAAGCCTATGAATCCGCTGGGACCCCTACAGAGGCAAGCTCTGATTGGGGAACAAGTCATCAAAAAGAGTCAACACACACACACATAAAAACCTCCCCCGACTATCCTTGGACCCGTCTTGAACCTTCCTCCTGTGGAAGCACATGCCCGACTTGACGACGGGGTCGGCGAGCGGCCCCATGGGGCGCCCACGCGCCCCGAAAGGGGCCATGGGGGCGGAGGGCGCGGCGCTGCCTCGCGAGGAGCCGCGTTCCCAGAGGCCCAGGGCCTCAGGGAGAGAAAAAAGCGGCCCGCGGCGCACGGAGCCGTCCGTCGGGGCGGGGTCGAGAGCTGCTGGGGCTCGCGTCGTGCATTCAGAAGCTCCAGAGGGGGGGGGGGTCCGATCACAGTCGGAATCTGCAGTGAGGGCGGGCGGTGAGGACGCAGGGGCCCTGCACGCCGAAGTTGGCACGTCGTGGGCGGCGGACTGCCAACACCCTGGAAGGCTGGCCAGTGGGAGCCGCGAAGGACGGGCCGCAGAGGCAAGGACGCAAGGGTACCCCAAGGACATTTGTGCGTCCTTACCATGGTTTTCAACTGTAGATTGGTTGGAGGAACGCGACGCATCGCCGATACATCGGCGATAGGGCTCGATGTGGAACCCGACTTTCTCCCCGCTGGCGCCATCTACTCGGACCCCCTTCTGGGAGGCCTGGAGTATGATCCCCGCGGTGTCGGATGTCGGGGTCTCCTCGTGATGGCAGGTGACGAGTAGGTCATGCCTGGGGTGTGGGAAACAATCCCACCAACCTTTTGGGCCAAGGTGGCTCAGCGATATTTCCCCGTCCTCCTTCAAAAACCTGATCTGTTCTTTCTGGTTGCCCGCTTTGTTTCAGTACTTGTGTTTCCTCGCCCCTTTGCCCGTCAACTCTCACGGGGAACGTCTCTGAACGGGCTCGTGCGAATACGCGAAGCGTGGACTTCAGTTTCGCTGGGAGGGCTGCCAGTGGCGATTGTCGGCGGCGATCTCAGGGGGGAGGTGAGAGGGCGCGGGCCTTCTCAGGAGGCTCAGCGGGCCTCGGGCCTTCTGACAAGTGGCGCGAGCTCTCTCCAAAGACATAGACGGCTCCTCAAGAGGCCGGATGGCTTCTGAGACGCCCCGCGGCCTCGCCGGAAGAGGAGGAGGGGGGGGAGGAGTAGGAGGAGGAGGAGGAGGAGGAGGAGGAGGAGGTGTGAAGGCCTGCTCCCTCTCAGTTCCCCCCCTGGGCGCGCCGCCGAAATTGGCAGGCGCACGCGAGGGGGCGACGTGTCCCGGCGGGAGCGCCTGCGTGGGAGCCGCGAGCGTGACGCCTCCACGGCAACAGTAACGTATGTGAAACTCATGGCTGGAAGTACATTCGAGACTGATCAGTAGGTCGACCCTGCCCAATCAAGGGTACCCTTGTGTCCTGAGCTTCGTGACCCATGCTTTCTTACAGTCCTATGAAAATGTGGCCCTCGGAAGAGTCTTGTGTCTTCTCGTGTGTCCTCTCCAATCAACCCCGACTGTACTCGCTTCTTGTGTGCTTTGTTGTTCAGCGCACTTTTATGAAGAGGGGGTAGGAACGAAAGGGAGCAAGGACGCGGACAGCCGACGACCCGCGTACCAATCTCGTCTCAATGCCCTGCCGAGGCTACGACAAATGTGAGCAGCCTGCGGCCAGAGGCCGGAAAACCATACAGGCCGAAAAACTCTCCTGATCGCAATCGCTCCCTGTAGTAAGATTCAATGGGTTGTATCTCGTGTTGGCCACCTCGCGCATGGGAGGGAGTCCATGCCAGGTTGGCAGGAGTGGGGGAAGAATCGTTGGCCCCAGAGGGGGGAGGAAGAATACAGAATTGCAATTGGGAAACAAAAATCCCCCCCAGTGGCGAAGTATTAATTCTCGCGATTGGGAAGCAACTTTCCCCCTCCCCCCAGAGGGGGCGAAGTATTCATAGTCCAGCTGGCATTACTGTTCAGTTCGGATCCACTCCGGGAGCGGGCTGAAACACTCAGGTCGAACTCGAGGTGCCACATTCCCGACCCCCCCAGCCGCTAAGCGACGATGGTGAGATACAGTGGAGGCCACTCCGCAAGAAACCTTCCACAAGAAACCCAACCCTGAGACCCCAGGACGTCTATCGATGTTTGGCGTGGGAACGTCACGTTTTCCCGGCCAAACCATCGAAACCCAAGAAACCCAGGGCACCCTAGGCAAGCAGGGTATTTTCTTGGCATGGGCCCCCACTCTAACAAAAAAAAGAGCAATACACTCGCGAGGAGTGCCCGACCAGGCCCCCCAAAACACCAAACATGCGGAAGATGCGGGCGCCCACACCACCATTGGAGGCCTGGAAATGGGCACCAACACCAAGACACGGGGCTGCCTCCACAGGGTGGAGACGATCCTAGAATTCGGTGCTGGTGGTAATATTTCGGCCACCTTGGAAGCCAGAATATTACCACCATCACCGAGATCGGGATCTTCTTCCCCCGGTGGAGGCACACCGCCGAAATTGGTGTTGGTGTCAACCTCTAGGCCTGCGACACCGGGCACCATTCCTGCGGCCTCCAGACAGACAGACACCGCGCAGGCACCTCCAAGGGCAGGGCGGGGAGGAGAGGCAGCGACCGGGGGCGAAGTGACGGAGCAGGGGCGGAGGAGGGTAGGAGAGGGAAATTCACAGGGCCGCGAAGGGGCAGGGGCGAAGGGAATTCGGCGGCGGGCCCAGGGGGGAAATGAGAAGGAGCAGGCCTTCTCAGAAGGCCGCGGGACTTCTTAGACGTCCAGGGAACTTCTGAGAGGTCTCCTTAGCCTATTTCGAATACAGGCTGAACTTCTCAGAAGCCCTCTCAGAAGTCCGGAAACTTCTCAGAAGCCTCGGAAGTCCCGCCCCTTCTCATTTCCCCCCCGCGCCCGCCGCCGAGGAATAGTAGCGTGAACGGGGAACCGCTGATTCGCGGAGGCTGTCGTTGACGTCTCTCGCGTGGCACGTCTGTGAGCGACCCAACGCAAGACGCATACGGCGAAACAGCATGTCCGGTGGCACGGGCACTCGACTTCTGCGCACCTCTGAGGACCCCCCCGCGATCAATCCGTCGCCAACACCATGGGATCACATGCGCGGGCTCTGCCCTTCGCGCACCGGCTGGAAGTTCGAGTAGCTCCCCGAATAGTTGGGCGCGCAGTTGTAGTTGAAGGGTGGTGGCAAAGGTGCACCTTGCTCCCGCCTGGCGGGGGGGGGACCCCCCCCGGGGCGCCATGGAGGGAGCGATGAACACATCGACACACAAGCAGGCAGGCACACGTACACCTCCACGTGAACTTGAACACGCACGCGCTCACTTCCCCCTTCCTGCGGCACAGTGCAACACCAGCGCATCCTCCGGCCACGAAGTGCGAAGACTGACGTGCACAAAGCGTACTACGAGAAACAATAGATGGCGGTGCAGACATAACCGCTCACACATATACACACAAACACACACACACACACACACCAAACACCACACACCACACATCACATCACACACACACACACTTTTTCAGTCGGTGGTGCAGAGGAACCTCAGACGCAGTCGGCTGATGGGGGTGTCGGTTGCGAACGAACTTAGTCGAACACGCCGTGATGAAACAATCCAGCCACGGCCATGCAGATAGGTGATGGTGGTGGTGGAAAGTGCAGCGGCCAAGCATCCCGCGGAGCGTAGCTCGACGACAGGAGTTGAAGCGTGGGCAGCAGTCCGGTGCTAATTCGATTCGCCAGTAGAGCGCAGCGGCCAAGCATCCCGTGGAGCATAACTCGACGCCAGGACTTGAAGCGCGGGCAGCAGCCCAGTGCTAGTAACCAGTAGAAGAAATGCACGGCAGAGCTGCCAAGCCTGGCGCGCTCCACGCGCCAGGGAGGGCTGCCCCAGAGGAGATCCAAGAAATCCGCGCGGAGCGCCAAACATTTTCTCTTGCCATCGCTCGGACGTCCATTTCCCGTGCCTTTTTCGGGTTCGTGCGCGTTTTTGTTTTGCTCGATTATCCAGAGGATGGTCCTCGATGGTTCTCGCCGATGAAAAATGCACACGTCCGAGCGATGCCAAGTTTAAAACAGGGCTAGGATCGGGATAAATCGCTCCAGAGCGTTCCGGAGCGCTCTCAGAGCGTTCCGGAACGCTCTGGAGCGGCCGCGGCGCCCGATACATCCTCCAAACCCGCCGATTCTCCCGATCCGATTTTGTCCCGATCTTCGCGTCGTTTTAAAATTCTTCGACCTGCAGCACCGAAGAGCAAAGCTGCTGCTGCGGGCGCCGGACCCGCCTCCCTCCCTGGCCCGGGAGGGGTGCCCCGGGCGGAGCCGGCGGCGCCGCCCAGGGGCCCCCGCGCAGGCTCACGACAGCCGGGCGAAGCTCCGAGAGCTCTTTGTGTGTGCTGCCTGTGATGTGTCGTGCTGGCATACGCCGGTGACGATCAATGATCAGACTGCCTCCGCTGTTCGAGTGATCTGTCATCTACTGCTTGCCCTTTGGTGTGCTGGCTTTGGTGTGTCATGCTGGCATACGTCTGCTACGATCAATGATCATACTGCCTCCCCTGTCCGAATGATATGTTGTCTGCTGCTTGCCCTGCTGGCTCGTAGGACTCGCTCTCATATTCGCCTCCGTCCTCTGAGAGAGACCTGAGTGCTCGCCATCGCTCGGACGTCCATTTCCCGTGCATTGTTCGGTTTCGTGCGTGTTTTTTTTGCTCGATGGTCCAGGATGGTCCTCGATGGTCCTCGCCGAGGACAGAATGCACACGTCCGAGCGATGCCAAGAGAGAGAGAGAGAGAGAGAGAGAAAAAAAAAAAAACAAAAAAAACGTCGACACTCTGTGCTTGCAGCTCTGAGGGCGCCCCGCCCCGCCCGCGCAGCTCGGGCACGCTCGGGTTCACCGGCGGCAGGTCGGGCAGGTCGTACGTGCCGGGGCCGGGCACATCGTGGCGGCCGCCGGCGATCTTCCTCGGCGCGCCGCCGCCGCCGCCGCCGCCGCCGTCGCCGCCACCGCCGGCGCCGTCGAGGGGAGAGGTTTTCGGATGTGTTCGTTGGTTCTCAACGGTTGTCCAGCCTCGCGCTGCTCTCCAGAAGCTGCGCCTCGCGGAGGGCGTTTTAGGCCATGGTCTCGATTTATCCCAAGAATGACCACATGAATCGCCCCCGCCTCCATCCCCTCCGATGTTGAGTGAAAGCATCCACCAGTGCCCAACGTGGCCCTAAGAGCACACCCGAAAGGCTCCCAAGAGGGCCCCACGAGAGCCCCGAGAGGCGATGGACAGCGGGACCCCAGATCGTTCTGAATGGCCGCCGGGGAGCCGGGCCATGACCCGAAGACCAAGAGGGGCTTCTTGTGGGCCGCCGCGCCGCCGCCGCTCCTCGTCGTCGTCGTCGTCGTCGGCGTCGTCGGCGGCGGCGGCGGCATCGTCGTTGTCGGTCGTCGGTCGTTGTCGTCGTCGTGCACAAAAGCGTCCGTCGCTCCAGAGCTCCGCAAAAGCAGCAGGTCGCCCAACCGGGCCTGACGAAACTGTAAGAAAAAGGCGCAGGTTTCACGCTTCCTCGTCCGCCCTCTTCCCAGGACGTCCTGACCAGCTCCTTCGATTCCTGTATGGTGGCGCTCTCGTATTTGTACACCAGGCGGCCCACATCCTGCACGCCGAGCGCGCGAGGGCGCTGGCGAACGAAGGAGAGGGCGAGGGAGGAGCGGTCGCTTCTCCCTCCTCCGATGGAGCGGGGGCACTTGGCACGCTGAACGGAGAACCACCTGCAGAATCCCCCTTCCCCATCCCTAGACATCCTCCGATACGATTCGTCCCCACATCCAAAGTGGGGTTCTTGTTTTCACTGCCCCCCCCCCCCCGCGCAAAGTCTCCTCCTGCTGCTCCTCCTCCTCCTTCCCCCCCTCACGACTCCTCACTCACACACCCATGCACCCACGCACTCATCATCATCAGCATCAGCATCACCACCACCAGCATCACCATCGTCATCATCATCACCAGCATCACCAGCATCACCATCATCATCGCCATCAGCAGCATCATCATCATCAGCAGCAGCATCATCATGCTCATCATCATAATCAATATCATCATCAACCTCATCATCAACATCATCATAATCATCAGTGTTGTCGTCATCACCATCATTATTCACATCATCAACATCATCTTCATTATTAACATCACCATCGTAGTTGTCGCCATCACGATTGTATACATATTCAGCATCGTCATCATCATGAGCATCACTACCCACATCATCAGCATGGCCATACGCATCAAAATCATGATACTCCTCCTCAACATCGTCGTTTTCATCATCAACATCAACATCATCATCAACATCACCATCATCATCTAACCATCGGCGTCATACACATCATCCACATCATTACCGTACTCCTCCTCCTCACCTTCATCATCATCGTCAGCACCATACACACTCACTCATCACATCAACCTCATCATCGTCAACAGCATCATCAGACCAATCATCAGCATCACCGTCATCATCATCACCATCAACATCATCATCAGCATCCTCATCCTCCTCCTCCTCATCACCATCGTCAGCATCATCACCATCATCATCACCATCACCATCACCATCATCAAGTTCATCGCAATCAACATCACCATCAGCATCATCATCATCACCACTCATCATCGCCGCTCAATAGCACCATACCCACTCACACAATCACGTACTCAGCTTGAGGGAAGTCTCGAGCGGGAGCCCCCTCCCTATGGGGCCAACACTTGATGTTGACAATCCGAGTGTGTCATCGTTCTCGAGCGGGGGCCTCGTCTGTGAGTGAATTGCGACGGAGTCTCGGGCGGGAGCCTCCTCCCTATGGGGCCCGCGCTTCATGCTGGTAATTCGAGCGTGTCATCGGAAGCCTCTACAGGGCTTGGCACTTGAGCTAGGGTGAAACTACTGAGGATTTCTTGAGCGGGGGCATCGCCTGTGAGTGAATTGCGAAGAGGCCTCAGGCGGGAACCTCCTCCGTATAGGGCCCGCACTGCATGTTGGCAAGTCGAGCGGGTCATCGGACAACTCGACCAAGCATATCATTTGAGCAACCCAAGGGTGCATATCGTGAGGATGTCTCGGGCGGGGGGGGCCTCGTCTGTGAGTGGATTGCGAAGACGCCTCAGGCGGGAGTCTCCTCCACCTATGGGGCCCGCACTTCATGTTGGTAATGCGTGCGGGTCATCGGAAAATTCGACCACGCAAATCTTTTGAGCAACCCAAGGGTGCAGACCGTGAGGATGTCTCGGGCGGGGGGGGGCCTCGTCTGCGAGTGAATTGCGAGGAAGTCTCAGGCGGGGGCCTACTCCCCCTATGGGGCCTGCACTTGGTGTTGGCAATCCGAGCGGGTCATCAGACACATCTACCAGGCATAGCACTTGATCACCTCCAGGGGGCAGATCGTGAGTCTCGAGCGGGGTCCTTCGTCTGCGAGTGAATTGCGAGGAAGTCTAGGGCGCGAGCCCCCTCCCTATGGGGCCCGCTCTTCATTTAGGAAATTCGAACGGACTCCAACACTTGCGCAACCGCCAGGGTGCAAATCGTGAGGTGTCTCGATTAGGGGCCTCGTCTGTGAGTGAAGTTCGAGGAAGTCTCAGGCAGGAGCCCCCTCCCTATGGGGCCCGCAGATGATGTTTGTAATCAGAGCGGGTCATCGGCGTAGTGTAGCAGGCAACGCACTCGAATACAGCAAGGGGGCAAATCGTGAGGACGTCTCAAGCGGGACCCCCTGCCTATGGGGCTCGCGCTGCATGTTGGTACGTGCCAACATGAAGTACGGGCCCCAGGCAGGTACCTGCCTGGGCTCCTCTGGCTTGAACCTGCCCTCCCTATGAGGTCTCCACCTCCATGTTGGATTCCGAGCGGGGTCACCCAAATTCTGTATCTGCGTCACTGTTTGGCCCCCCAGGCTAGAATCTGGAGGATGTCTCTATCGGGAGCCTCGTCAGTGAGTGAATCGCGAGGAAGTCTCGAGCGGGAACCCTCGGAAAGCCTCCCCAGAGGCCGCAGGAGGCCTCAGAGACACCAGGAAGCCCTAGAAGGCTCCAGGAATTCTCAGGGTAGCCACGGGAGGTCCGGGAGGTCCCAAGAGTCCCCGGGCCCCAGGAGGTCGAGGGACGCCCCAAATGAGGGCGCAACGGGAGGCCCCAGGAGCAGGCAGGAGGCTCAAGGGGGATACAGGAGCAGGCTAGAGGAAGAGGCAGGACTCGACGAGGATGAGGAGGAAGAGGAGGAGGAGGAGAAGGATGAGGAGGAAGAGGACAAGGATGAGGAGGAGGGGGAAGAGAAGGAGGAGGCAGAAGCAGGAACAGGAGGAGGAGGAGGAGGAGGAGGAGAAGCAGGTGGAGGAGGAGGCGGAGGAGGAGGACGAAGAGGAGGAGGCGGCGGAGGAGGCAGGAGCAGGAGCAGGAGGAGGAGGAGGAGGCATGAGGAGGAGGAGGAGGAGGAGGAGGAGGAGGAGGAGGAGGAGGAGGAGGAGGAGGAGGAGGAGGGAGAGGAGGAGGAGGAGGAGGAGGAGGAGAGAGGAAGGAGGGAGGAGGGGAGGAGGAGGAGGAGGAGGAGGAGGAGGAGGAGGAGGAGGAGAGTGCCCCAGGAGGCCCCAGGAGGCACCAGAAGGCTCCTGCACGCTCTCGGAAGCTCCAGGAGGCCCCAGGAGGCAGGATGAGGAAGGAGCAGGAGGAGGGGAAGTGTTGAGGTGGTTCCCTCTGGGGGCCGCCTCCAAAGGAGTGGAAAGTGGAAAGAAGGAGGAGAATGATGAGGAGGAGGAGGAGGAGGAGGAGGAGGAGGAGGAGGAGGAGGAGGAGGAGGAGATGGAGGAGAAGGCGGAGGAGGAGGAGGAAGAGGAGGAGGGGGAGAAGGAGAAGGTAGCAGGAGTAGGATAACGAGGAGGAGGAGGACGGCGAGGACGAGGACGAGGACGAGGACGAGGACGATGATGATGCGGATGCTGCTGATGATGATGATGATGATGACGATGAGGCTGATGATGATGGTGATGCTGATGACCATGATGATCATGCTGATGACGATGATGATGATGATGCTGATGATGATGATGATGATGATGATGATGATGATGATGGTGATGGTGATGGTGATGATGATGATGATGATGATGATGATGATGATGATGATGATGATGATGATGGTGATGGTGATGGTGATGGTGATGGTGATGATGATGATGATGATGATGATGATGATGATGATGATGATGATGATGATGTGATGGTGATGGTGATGGTGATGATGAGTAGGAGGAGGAGGAGGAGGAGGAGAAGGAGGAGATGGAAGAAACTGAGGAGCAGCAGCAGCAGCAGCAGGCAGGAGGAGTCACGAGGCTGGAGGCAGAAGGAGGCATGGGGAGGAGGAAGAGTCAGAAAGAGTTGGAGGCAGGAGGATGAGGCAACAGGAGGCTGCAGGAGGAGGGGGCAAGAGGAGATCCTGGGGCAGGCTAGAGAGCTTCTCATGGGGGGGGACTTTCCGCCGGAGCAATCTCGGCCCGCGGCCCCAGAGGCCCCGACCCCTTCCCCAGGGAAGGTGGTTTCCCGTCCCGGGCGGCGCCAGATGCGCCGCCAGGGGGGGCTCGAGCCCGGCTCCTGGCGAAGCCAGGATTAGGTCGGGCATGTCCTCCTACGAGGCGATGTTGGAAGAGAATGTCCAAACTGTCAGAAAATCCTCAAAAATTGCCAAAACTAGTCACAAAACCGTCCCCATGGTCCCAGGGCCCGACAGCGGGCACCCGGAGGCCGACCTCGAGGACAACCGCCCGCATCGAGCACGGCACCTCCTCGGAGGTCTGGCTCCCAGGGGTCCCCACAGCGGGCACCCGGGAGGCCGACGTCGAGGACCACCGCCCGCAGCGACCCCCGGGCGTGTGCCGCTGGCTCCGCCGCGGCCGCCGCCCCCCGAGGCGAGAGAGGAGGCGGATCTCGGGCGGGCGGTAATGCAGAGGCCTCCCGGGCGGGATCCGAGTAGACGGGGTCGGAGGATCGCGCCGCATCGCCGATGCATCGCCCATGCATCGGCGACATGGGCGATGCATCGGCGACGTCGACGTGGAGCAAATCGGGCTCCACATCGAGCCGCACCGCCGATGCATCGGCGATGCGGCGCGATCCTCCGACCCCACCTACTCGGACCTCATCTAGGAGTCCTAGATACCCATCGGTCAGAAGAAGAAGGTAGAAACATGAAGTAAGAAAACGTTGAAACAAAAACTGGGTTCCGTCCGCCCCCTAAGGAGAACGGAAAAGGTGGAGCCGACCAACTTTCAACGGGAATCCAACAATACCAACTTTCAACGGCCGATTGGCACTGGGGGGTGATCTGCATGGGGGGTGAAGGAAGGGCCCCTCGAGGGCCCTGCTCTCCCCCATCATGTAGGCTCAGTTCGGGCGTGTCCCCCTACAGGCAGATGTTGGATGACAAATTCTAGAGAATCTAAAAACGCGCAAAATTTGTCAAACATAAAAGAAAATCGTCCCCTGACGATTTGTGGACTAATTTTGAATATTCCTCCTGTAGGGGGACAAGCCCGACTTAAATATAGGCCAATTCCCTCCGCACCCGCCTGAGAGGCGGCGGAGCAAAGAAAAAGCCGCGGCCTCCTTGGA